AGGTTAATGTAATATTTGTCATATTATTTCACCATGGTCGGATACTAGGAAGTAAGAACTACTAGAGATATAGAAAAATTCTATTTGATGCACGAAAAAAATACATTTCCATTTGATTAATGAGACAGAAGAAGATAATTTCCGTTTGATTGACGAAAAAAAGAAGACAAATTCTGTTTTTTTGACGAAGATTTCCGATTTCTTTTTCCCTTCAATTTCCTTTCTTCTTACCCTTAGGCCTCTTATATATATGTTTGCATCTAGGAAGACAAAGAAGAAAAAAACTCTTCTTTTACTTTCAAAAGCAAATCTTTTTAGCAAGATGGAGTATTTCGACAATGCACTTGACCCGATAGAGTATTTCGACAATGCACTAGACCCTGCTATGATCATATCAAAACAACTAACAAGGAGTGATATTGTTGGTAATATGACATTACCAACACAACAAGTGATGTCCGTCCTCACGAAGTGGAATGGTACTACATGGAATGATTTGCAAACCGGAGTTCAAGTGCAAGTCTTCGACCTTCTCGAAAACGATCGATACCAAGTGACTCTAAGATGGGTTGATGACAACAGTAGATTTTATTTCGGGACTGGTTGGAGTATTATGAAGCATTCGTTAGAGCTTGAAGAAGGCAAACCTTTTAAGCTCTATTGGGATCACTTACACAACACGTTCGTTGTTCTCAATCATGAATATAAGTTAATACAAGATTCTGATTCTGGTCAATCATGAATATATATGTTCTTAACTCTCTTTTTTTTTCTAATTAAGTTTTGGATTTCATATTATTCTACTTTTAAGTGTTGTTTTCCCTAGTTATTGTTTTATTTTTCTTCTAATATATTGAAATTTAAGATTTTTTTATTTTATTTTAATGTCGTTCCTTACTGTTCCTATCAAAGAACAAAAAGTAACATACAACATGACAAAATATCCCAGTCTCAAAAAACAGAGCAAAACTTCATATTGTTTTAGCCTAAAAGGGATAAACTTTAACCTTAAGATCATAACATCCAAATCCTTAAAGGTCACAATACTCAAAAACAACACAAGGTACATGTTGAATTTTGTAAAAATCTTCACCACCAGAGACCAACTTGTCTTTGAATGCCTTTGTCATGTTCCCGATCTCCACTTCTTGTAGGATTTTCAGGAATCTTGTTCCTTCAGGAACCGACTTCAGTTTCTTACAACACTTCAACTCCATGGAGACAAGACGCATCATTGCACCATCTTCTACAGTCCATTCCTCTAGGTTCTCAAGTTGTGACAATGTCAAAGAATGCAGTTGAGGGAAACCATCTTTGGAACAACAAAGTGTACTACCCATGAATGATCCTTCAAACAGTTGTAGAATCTTCAAGTTTGGAAGCTTCTCAAGAACCAGAAACGGGTCATCCATTAATCCGCATTGCCACAAACGTAAGGCACCGACATCAGAGGAGAAACTCTGTTCTCTTGGGAGCTTCTCTAGTTGAAGGAACAGTTCCAGCTCAGAAAGATTAGTAAATGCAGAAACCAACTGTGTTACGTCAACCGGTGGAAGCATGGGTTGACCAGGAACGTTAATTGTCAAGCCACGAAGGCGTTTCAAGACTTTACTTAGAGAAGACACAACCTCGAAGTCCGTGTTCTGCGAAGAAAGATTGATGGCCAATCTTCTAAGACTCGCCATTGCCAGAAGATCCCTCGGATTGCATTGTCCACCAACAGGGAAGTCCCAAAGTTGTTGCAGGTTTCTTAGAGTACTCAAGTCCAGCTTTGTTTTTGGATCAAGCTCTGCAGGCATACACAGATGTCTAAGCCGCCGTAGCTTCCATATCACGTTTGGAATATATAGTTTCCCCTTCACGAACAAGTCTAGAGTAATCATCAACTTTAAGTTTCCAATGGATGATGTAAGTTCCTTCACGTTTGTCAATCTCAAGCTCAGGTTTCTCAAATGGATGAGATCTCCTACATCATCTGGCAACTTCCCTCCACCGATTTGAGCTCCCTCGAGATCTAGAACTCTAAGGAGTTTCATTTTTCTGAAGGAAACCTTTCCCAGAAGTGCCCATTGACCTCCTTGATTCTTCATGATATACACAAGAGATCTAGACCGAGTATTTATGTAGTTCACCTGAGAAAGTCTCTCGATCCGGTGCTCCTCTGCACCACCATGTAATTGCACAGAAATTCTGCGAGATGAATTGGTCGAAAGAGACGGGAAAGCCTCAGCTTCATCTTGATCCCTTGAGTCGATAACTTGCACAAACGTTTCTTGCTCTGCTTTCTGTAAACATACCTCCCTCATGAGGTCATGCATACGGCATGTCATGACTTGTGAAGTTACAATGTCCATCTTGCCAACCATAACCATGCTTCTCTTTACTAATTCTTCGAGATAATCTTGACCGATATCTTCTACTGCCATGCTAGCTTCCATTTGTTTTACAGGCATAACCATTCCCTCTGCGATCCAGTAACTAACCAATGTTCCCACATGAACCTCATAATCTTCAGGATAGTGGGCAAAGTAGAGGAAGCATTGCTTTAAATGAGGAGGCAAGTCTTCATAACTCAAGGCCAAAACATCTGCAACCAGCATACTCTTACTTCCACTGCTACTACCTCCATTGGAAACATATGATTTGATGTTCTCGTGTACTCTTTGCCACTCGTTCAATGTATTTTTCGTTGCCAAAAGTCCTCCGAGAACTGTTATAGCTAGAGGTAAACCTCCACAACTCATGGCCATCTGCTTCCCAATCTCCTCCAGTTTCTTGACCAACACTGGCTCTGCAAACATGGTGTATATGAGTATGAAGTATTATAGCATATATAAATTAGAGATATAAATGATTACCTGTATCCTCTCTTCCAGATAATGAAATTTTCTCCAACAACTCCCAACTCTCTTCATACGTTAGCAATTGTGGCTCATGAAGCACACCTCTTGGATCAGCATATAAAGCAACTTCCTTGTTACGCGTGGTGAGTATTATGTTACTTCCTGCAATATTGTGAGAATGAGTTCTACTTTATTATCGCTATTATCCTGTAAGAAGATGAGGAATTTAAAACAATGAGTTGCATTGATAATAAGTAAATTACCTGTTTCATGTGGAAAGACGTGTTTAAGACAATCCCAAGCATCAGAGCCCCATATATCATCAAGCACGACGAGGCATTTACTCCTTTTCAAGAACCGATGCAACTCCTCTCCAAGCTGTTCGTCTCTTAAGCTGAGTATTCTGTGATTCTCATCTTTATAGCTGAGATTCAGAAGAATCTCTAGCCAAACATGTCTCCTTCTACATTCTTGAGAAACATATACCCAAGCAAACCTATCGAAATGGCGCCTAACTAAGCCATGATGGAAAATCTGTTTGGCTAAAGTTGTTTTCCCCAAACCACCCATTCCGCAAATGGACATGACCCTTAACTTCTCATTTCCGGAAACTAAACCATTCACCAACTTCTCAAGACTCTGCTCTAGCCCAACAAGATTATGCTCAACAACATATGGAAAGGACTGTCTCTGTTCTCTGTGACTATCGGACAAACTCAAACCTTCCCCTTCCATAGCTTCTTTTATTCCATAGTCTCGCATGCTTGCTGCTATCTTAGAAAGCCTGGAGGTGATATCTCTGATCTCAGAGCCAACATTATGAAGTGAAACCACCTCGTTCAAGATGCGAGTAAGCCTCCAAAGCACCTTTTTAACCCCTTTTTCTTTCTTTGATTCTGCCTTGAGGTAAAATGCCTCGAGAACATCCTCTGCATCATATGCAGCTTCTCTAATGCTTGCAACCCAATTACGCACTCTCTCGCTTTTTTGCTGCTTCTCATCTGCATCTTTCAAAAAGCATTTCAAACGCTTCAATTCGTCTTGCAGCTGCTTCACCTGGTCACCTATACCAAACAAGGACAAGGGATCCTCCAGAAGCAACTCCCCTAGCTTCTGCACTGTAACAGAAACAATAGCCTCTGCCATTTGCCTGTTCTTGATTCACATCTGTGATTCTCCCAATCTCTACCTCTTACACTATAAGAGTCAACTGTGAACTACTTTCATGACATAAGATTCCAAGTCAACTCATTCATACACTCGTTGTCCCTTTCTGATTATTCAACACTAAGCATCATGTCAACATAACTCTTATCATCATTCATACACTCATGTCAACATAATTATTTGGTACAGCTACTAGAATGGCCCATGAACCACCACATCCACATATTCATCTATCAGAATTTGGTGGGAGACTTTCAAAAGTCTTCGCTGTCTCATACAACCATACCTTTCATTTTCCTTCTCACCTTTTACTGCAGCAGCTACAGTTAGAAAAATGGACTTCTCTGCCTTGCAATTAAACAAACGGGCTCACTCATTATTGTACAACACACCGAATTTTGATTTCATAATTTGTTGAAGGAGAGAGAAAGAGAGATATACCACTTAACAGATACTCTTATAATATTATCGTAGTCTTTTCAAATTGATATGCAACAAGAAGAAAACGGCATAAATCTCAAAACCCCTTGTTGAAACAAAGAACGTGTACTAGATTGATATTATGAACAATATAATATGCCTCCTTATTTGCTTTCGTGATCGTTAAGGTTAGAAACAAAATGAGCAGATATACAAAAACGATCTTACATTTTCACCTAAGAACTATTGTAGAGCTTGCACTTATTTGTTCCAGCACAAACCGCACACTCGTCTGCATCACCTTCAACATGGCTCAAGCAATGTTGGATTCTGTCGTTCACAACGTCCTAAAGACAGAAATATTAGCAGATTACCGACTGTTCAACATACAGAAGAAGAATTAGATCTGCTATGAAGATCACTGAAGAAAGACCTCAGATTAAAAATAAGAAGATCAAAACTTTGGAGGACCAAAGGGAAGAAAAGTGGCATTCAAATCCCTAGGTCTAAAGTACTAACAAGTTTGAGTAGCAAGATTATTGAATATGCTTTATTTTTTACCATGAGGAGATTATGGAGGCCAAGAGGTGCAGTTATGAGGTACGAGACGCCAGAGAACTCCTTTGCAGCATCAGCAGTCAACGAGGGAATGTCCTAATCATATAAAGGTCATGAGCTCACCCGGCCATTAATGTAAAGACTCCAATAATCGCAGAAAGTCTAGCAATAAAACTTCAAGGGCATACCTGATTCCAATGTCTTCCAGGAAACAGAAAAAATGGGCTAACAACTACACGTTTTGCCCCTTGTTGTACACACAAACTGAATGCATCTTTTATAGATGGCTCAGCCAGTTCCTGGCGTAAAGTGAATATCCGCAAACAGAAAACAGAACCGAAAAAGTGGGGAGCAATATCTAAGTCTCAATTCAAACATATTCAGATCATTTTAAAAGATGACCAAGAAACTGAAAATGATCAGATTGTACTACACTCACTATTATGCAATACTAGTGGTTGACACAAGTGAATCAAATCAAGTAAACTATTCAAAAGGACGGACTTTACTTGCGGTTCCTACTTTAACCGAAACATTCTCAGGTCTTAAACGATTTTTAAAGGCACACTAGTTAAAGCATGAGATGTATATCCTCTTCAATTGTCCACTACTAAAGAAACCTAACAGAAAAATTGAGAGCAATTAGGAAAAATTACCATATGAGCAGGCTCCACAATTAAGTATCCAGTTTTGTCTTTGAACATTTTCACAAACTCTTCTGAAACACAGAACACAACAAACCCATTACCATAAACCTCATTACAATGAAGATGAAGAAAAGAGAAGAAACAAAAAACAGAAGTCTTACCAAGCATAAGGTTAGATTCTCGGCGACGAGAACCATGATCGACGATTATAACCCCATCAGAATCACCGACTCCATTTCTAAGAAACCCACCATTCTCGAAGCTCCCAAAACATGGAGAAACTCTTCTGCTTCCTCGTTGTGGTCGAAATTTCTCAACTTTTAAGGAATTTAACAAAACCCATGACCGATTCGTTCGCGTAATTTCACAGGAAGAAGACGAAACACGATTATCCACTCTGAGATTGCTACCAAAGATCGAAAAGTTCACCAAGAACTGAGACTGAGTCGCCGCCATGTTTCCAGTTCTCCGCTACTATTACAACACTGATAAATCTGTCGGAATTACTCGATTTGCTCCGATGAATCAGAAGAAAATTGAAATCGGAAAGTGGGAAAAAACTAAAATCTCTCGGTGGTGCTAATATATTTTTTTCCTCGAAGAAATGGAAAAAAAAAAAATAAGAGTCTAAAGTGGGCCGAAGTTTGGGTTTAATGGGCCCAAATGAAAAAAGCCACGTCACCATGTCAAAGCCATAGCTCGAAATCAGCTCCAGAAGAACCTACGAAGATCGGTCTCTCTCTTGCCTCTCTCGCGAGTTTCTCTCTAATTCACTCTTCTATTACACATCACAAATCCTCTCTCATTTTCTTCTTCTCCAAGTCTGATTTACAATATATTAAGATGGAATGAGCAAAAAAAGCCGACTTTTTTCTTCCATATCTGTTATTTTTCAAGCTAGGTAATGAAACATGAAGAGACCAAACCAAGTTCCTGATTTTTTCTCATTAAGTTAGGTTTTTGTCTGAGATTGAGACTTTTGGGAAGTGGGTTTTTGAGATAAAAATTATTCCTTTTGGTAAACAAATGTAAATGAAGGATATTTTTGTTTTGTTGTCAGGGATTTTTGGAACTGAGGGAAGCAATTTGCGATGTATGCAAGAATACTAAGAAGGAACCAGAGATTAGGTTTTGTATTGAATCAAGACAAATGCTTAGTTAAGCCAGTGATTCGTGACTACACAAGTTCTCAAGCTTATAGATTTACAAATATACTTCCAAATCATTTGACAAGAAAGTATCATTCTTGTGGTGGTATTGCCTCTGGAAACTGTTTGAATTGGAATAGCCAATTGCGTCGGTTTAGTTCTGAAGGTGATGGTAGGAACGCTAGTGAGGATAATCGTTTCCCTTTGAGTAAAGAAAAGACGGGAAACGAGAAGAGCGGTTTTGGCGTTGAGCATTTTGATTCTCATGCTCAACTTGGAGAACAGGATCAATTAGAATGGCTTAATAATGAGAAGCTTGCAAGTGAAAGCAAAAAGGAGTCGCCTTTTCTTAATAAACGAGAAAGATTGAAGAATGAGTTCTTACGGAGAATTCAACCTTGGGAAACTATACAGCTCTCTTGGGAGTCTTTCCCTTACTACATCCAGTAATAACCAAAGACATTATTCTTCTGTTATGGTGTTGATTTTGTTTAGTCATTTCCATTTTTGGCTAATATGTTCTGTTTTTGCTCATTTTTCCCCCAGAGAACACACGAAGGACACTCTCGTGGAATGTGTTAGTTCACATATAAAACAAGGAGATTTAGCGTCTATATATGGTGCTCGTTTGGATTCTTCAAGTGGGAGAATATTGCTTCAGAGTGTTCCAGGTTTGTTGATGACTAGAAAATGCATTGCAGTGTTTGGTTTTGTTGTTCTTTTATATCAAACTATACAATTGGTGAGGAATGAAGCTCCAGTAATGACTTGATGTTTTATGCAGGCACTGAGCTTTACCGAGAAAGATTGGTACGAGCACTTGCTCGAGAGACACAAGTTCCCCTGTTGGTTCTTGACAGCAGCGTTCTTGCCCCTTACGTGAGAATCTGATGTTATTTGCTATGACATGCTACCATTTTTTTCTTTCTGTGTCATGAATGTTGGTGTGATCTTTGTTGATTCTGATCAGGATTTTGCTGATGACTACAATGAAGAGTCTGAATCAGACGATGAC